CGTCGCCGTCCATCTACTAGGTATATAGAGTACGAGTATCTATATCCACATACTTGTATATTCACATGAGAGATACCCCCACACACACAGAGACAGTGCCTACTAAAAGTATATTCAGATCAGTTCAAACTCTCGACTGAAGTGAACTCTCGAGGCGCACAATATGTCGCTGTCATTTTGGGGACATGTTTGCATGTGGATGTGGATGTGGATGTATCTTTGTATCTGTGTCTGTGTATCTGGGGGAAGTGCGAGTACGGGTATCTGTGTGAGGGCAAACGGGCGTTCTGTTTTTGAGGTCTGGGCATCGGTCGATGTCGGTGTCGATCGGTCGCTTGGTCGCTTGGTCGTACGGGCGCTTGGCATTAGCATTTTCAGTGTTGTTTTATTTTTAGATGCGCGCGCGCAAAAAAAAAACCAAATCCAACAAATATCCAACAAAAGCAACAAAAAAATTGCAAGTGTATTTGAATGTGTCTGCGTTGATGTTGCTGTTGGAGGTGACTGACGAACAGAGACAGACAGACAGACTAACGGACAGACGATCTGACGTTATTTTTGACAGTGTGACAAACGGCTCTGAGAGAGTGCCCCAACGACAGTTTGCAGCACATTTATTATGTGGAATATTGGAGGGATAGAAAAGAAATGGAGATAGCCACAGGGAATGTGGCACTGCAGATCACTGGAAATTCTAATTATAGATAATAAGAGGGAGCTTGAAAAATCACAACCATCCTTGTGATAAGATACAACCCTTGAGCTGACAAAAGTTTAACTCGTTTAATTTTGAGAATTTGAATCACATGGAAAAAGATTTAATGGAAGATCATTTTGATATTCAACTCAAGAGTAAAAGAAATTTAAAAGTTGTAAGAATTTGGTATACCTTAAAGCAAAAAATTAATTTAATGAATAAAAAATGATTAGGAAGTTCTTTTAATCAAATATAAATCTGTATGTTTATTTATAGAAATTTATGAAGATGCAGCTATGGTTTCCCGGATTCTTGACAAAATTATACTGAAATATGAACAATAATCTCAGCAACCTTAGTGATAACTGAAGATTATACATATGTATATCAGCTTTTCTTTTTTTTTCTGCTTAGCAAATCCTCTGATCTCCATTTCCCCTAAGTAGAAGATAAGATTAGAGAAGTCTTCCTAGAACCCATTAACATTACCCCCACATTATGGATCAATTTGTCAGCGATGTCAAAAGCCAAAAAAAAAAACCATAAGAACATTTAAGTACAAATCTTTTCATCGGAATAAGGCCATATAAATTTAGTTTAAAAAATATATTTTCTAAAGGACTTGAACCCAGACATTTGCGAAAATTAAAAAATACTTTTATTAAGCATTTGCCAAACTCCACACACAGATCATATAATAATCTCCTTCTACCTCTTTGGTTGTGTCCTTCAAGTTGAACAACTCGTTAATTAACACCTTAATCAAATGAATGCAACAAAGCATAAATGCTAAGCCACACTGTGAAAGGTTTAGAGCGTGTTATCCGCTGATATGCAGTGCAAGTCTTGTTTGCGGGATGTTGAATCTTTTGGATCTTTTGGATTGTTGGATCGTTGTTGTTGACGCGTGTTTGGCAAACGATTCAATTGGTATGAACTGTCGAACTGTCTTTCGTTTTGCAGGCGGCACAAAAGCGGCATCTCTTGCCATCTCTTTCAAGCCTTTTCTTCGGTTTTCTTGCGATTTTGCAAACATTGAGGATCGACCCACACACAGACCCAAACACTGGAGGAGACATGGGCCCATACTTCAACACACCTTGACTTGCCCCTCCGTCAGCCAGCCTGGCGGCATTCTGTGGCATATACTCCGCATACGTAGTATCTCGTTGTCAACTTTTGTCGTTGTTGGTTTTGTTTTTTGCTTTTTCTTGTGGCATATACTGCTGCGCCTCTCACCTCTCACCTTGCCACGGGGTCTGTGCTCCTCAACGATCTGTCGCCTGCTCTTGGGTTATTTTTTTGTTTGATTCATTGATGTACTGCGTGGATGTCGTACGTTTTAGGTAAAGATATTCATGCATATATGTATGGTATGGGATCTGAGAATATATAGCCTACACCCCTGACAAAATATTCATTTCAAGTGGAGATGAATTGCGGTTGAATATCTTGTGTGTGGGGTTCCAAAAAAAAAGAAATAAAATATACATAATATGAAATTAATTTAATGCGATTTAATGCAATGGGAAACCCTTAAATTGGTGTTTTATTAATGGTTATTAATGCTTAAAATCAATAAGGATAAAAGGCAAAGATTTTCAGTGTACTATGTTTTCCCACAAACGGAATAGCATTTCTCTGCGTGTAGTATCTGTTGGATAACTAGATACATATCTCTTCAGTTTTTACCTATTTATCTAACCAAAAGATTGCTGTCATTTGACTTTTTGCCCGGCCAACAGACACACACACACACACACACTGACTCACATATAGATATTCTTATAGATATATCTATATATGAACAGCAAAAATGTATCTCACAGATACCCCACACACACACACACACACACTCGTACGCTTGCCAGGCTGCCTTTTGTTCTTCTCTGCAGTTCGGAGAATTGTTTTTGTTTTTTTTTTTTTTTTGCAAAAGATCACAGACCTTCTGACCTCTCTCTCTCTCGCTGAGCGCCCTGCAACAACAACAAAACGGCAGACAGACCTGAGGTTGGGGCTCTGCCTGAGATACAGATACCGAAGTACTACAATATATGCATGTCCCCTTTGCCCCTGGCATCCCTCCCCGCCCCGGTCCATCCTGCCGGCATCGGTCGCAAGAGTTCTAAAAATATTTCGCCGCCAACCCAGGTCGCCGTCGACGTTGCCGTCGCATCGGTCGTCGGTCGTCGTCGTCGTCGCCGCCGATCCCGTCATGGCCCGGTCGCCTCTGTTTCGCCTTTTTGGTCTCGTTTTGGGTTAAGTGTGCGGATCTCTCATCTGTGGCTGTAGCCTGTAGACTCTATATATATGTATACTGTATATTGCATATAAAACAAGTAAGAGCGATTAAATCTGGGGCATTACGACTTGGGGTGTACTTGATAATCGGATTTATCTATGGGAGATTTAGAAAGTGATCTTCGTATATTAATTCCAAAGTAAGAAATATTTAAAAATCCATCTGATAATATTTTTCGATATATTTGCAAAGTTTTCCTTATTCTGATTGTAAATTTTTAACCCATTTTAATGATTTAGTATTTACTATTATCCACCTAGTAAAAAATATTCCAGCTGTTTCCATGCTGCACCGTCTGGTATATGACTCTATTGTCTTTGATGCAATCCATAAAATGTACATACATGTAAGTATGTATATATGGCAATCTTTGTGCTGTGCACCTTTTACATAACTCTTCCAGTGTCTAATATACCCATTATATTCCACGATTAAGGGGTATCCAATATATATACACATTTATTTTTCTTATATTTTTTATTTGACGTCTGCTGTCTGTGGCCCGTTGCTGTTTTCTGAGTTCTGTTGATCTTAAGGTTGTTCAGGTCGTCCACATCCACTTGGAGCCACACATCGATTTCGATTTTCACTGTAAATACATACATATGTACATACATATGTCATGCGATAGGGACAATGGACAGATTTCTTCATTGGAATATAATGGTATTATATGGGGTAATGAATATGCATATGGTTTACTCTACCCGATCTATCGATGGGGGGGTTCGGTTCTATCGAATAACAACTGGACAAACACCTAGAAAAATATGGGGGAAAGTGCAATGCAACACTGGACAAATAACGGAACACAACTGCAAAACTGCAATATGTCTGCTGCTGGCACCGCTGCTGCCACTCTGCCACTGGTTCTGCCACTGTGCCACTGGCTCCTTCCTCCTACCCCGCTCCCAGCTCCTCTACTCAGTTGTTTCTGTTGATTGACGAGTGACGAGGCCAAAGTATCAAATGGCCAGGCGACGGACGCAGCGACGGCACAGATATGCGTCTGTCTGCGTCTCTCTCTCCCCACAAATACAAATACAGTTACAGTTACGCCTACACTTTGTTATCCGTCAGACGGCGGCCTCTCCTCACCTCACCCGAACTAACCCCCTCTACCCCACTCCACTCATATTCTAATACTCTACCTCTATCTGTCCTCCTCTCTATTTGCTCCTCTTTCTAAAGTTGTAAAGCTGTTGCTGTTGCTGTTATTGCTGCTGCTGCTGCTGCTGCTGTTACCGTTTTTATCGCCGCTGCGTTTCTCTCTCTCATTCTCGTCACATTCCGTCATGGCCGCTCATTCTCATTGCCACTTGAACTCTGACCAGCTGACCTTCAGTGAACCCTTTTTTTGCGCTGAGCATATGGAGTGCAGTTCACATAAAGCAAAGAGAGAAATGAAATGCAGCAAAAGAATTAAAAAAGAGATTGCAGTACAGTGGTCAATCTGTGGAGGGAGATTTATAATTGGAAATCCACCTGTCTCACTTGTCAGCTTTTACTGTACTGATAAAACACTGATTGCTCTCTTGCGTACGCTCTCTTAAGCTTTTCTGCAAAACTTCCGCTGTTGCCGTACTGATAACTGCGACTCTCTTAAGTTCAGAACATTCATTCAAAAACATTGTTCACGTGAGAGCATTTACTGTACTGATAAAGTGCCGCTGGTTCTCTCTTAAGCGCTGCCAAAAAGCTACGATCTTTTAAGACCAATTCTGAAGCTCCAAAGTCAGTGGATAACTGAAGTAATTAAAATCCGAAATTAAATGAAGAAAAAAGCTAACAAAAATATAAGCCACCTGTCTCTTATGTGAGCATTTACTGATCACCTAAACGCGCTCTTAAGCTTTGCTCTCTTTCACATCAAACACAGCTGACTGGCTCTCTGTCTTACTTGCTCTCTTTGGCCTGCACGTGTGTGCTGCTGCTCCTCTTCCTCTTGCTCGTTTTGTTGTTTTCCTATTGGACGAGGGCTCGTTCTTATTGGGACTCCGCTCGTTCAGTACGGTTTTGTTCGTGCTCGCGTCGTCGTGTGCTTTGTGGAAAGTGTGGAAGGTGTGCGAAAAAAGAACAGCCCGCTTTATCAGTGATCGATTCGCGCGCGCGTAAATACAGCCAGAATATAAAAAATAAATATAAATAAAATTGCGTGGGAGTTTTGTACGGAATTATAAGCTTAAAAGTGATAACAAAAAAAAATAAAACAGGAAAACGCGAGAGCGCATCCGTCACATAACCGTAACTGTAACAGCCTCTAGTGCAGAGGGGGAGCACAACTAATCCCCAAACTAAAAATAAATCGCAAAGAGATAAAACAAAAAGTTCATTCTAAAGCTGTTTTTTTTCGTATCTGTCTACTGGCGGATATTTTTACACACAGAAATCTCACGTGTCCCCAACCGACGACGGATACAAATCGGTTTACGCGGGTAGGAGAATAGCTCAGTGCACGTGACCAACAATTAATGAATGAGACACACCGAAAGAAAGCAAAGAGAAAAAGGGTGCAATAGTCTAAAGAGATAGCGAGATAGTGCGTTTGAGAGAGAGAGTGAGAGGGGGCAATAAGTGATAATTTTGTGAGAAAAGAAAGAAATCCCGAACATATGCAAATTTGAGAGCACCAAAAAAGTGAAACGCAAAATAATCAAGTTTAAAAGCCAAAAGTCATACGACAAAAGTAAAAAAGAAAAAACGAAGATACATATTCCAAAACCGGGACCCAAAAAACAATATTTTGAAAGTTCAAAGCTACAAAACACACACAAATGTTGATTGTCCGAATAGTATATGATTCTTATTAGATCCATAAAAAGTCAAACAGCAAACTAATTAAAAGAAATCAATTTTAATAATAAATAAAACCGCAACAAAAAAATTGCAGAGTGGAAAAATTTAATTATATTTAAATTGGTATTAAAGTGCAATCAGTCGGGAATATAAAGGGGAGTACAAAAGGTAATACCATACAATAATATTAATTATTTAATATATAACAAAAAAGAAACAACGTGAACTCATTTTTGAAAAAAAAGAGCCCAAAAACTTGTATAAACTAAAAAATATAATTATCCCAATATTTTTAAATAGATAAAACAATAGTTTAAACTAAATAAAATAGAATTTTGTCTAAAAATAAACACAGCAAAATGTAAAATATTTGCCATAACAATAAGATACATATGTACAAGTGAAATAATTTAGATACATTAGATATTGAAACTACTACGGCCGATACTATGTCTAGCCTAAATGACATCTTGACAGCAGTTCAATCAGTCAATCTGTCAATCAGTCTGGCAGTGTAGCAGCCACTGCTATTAGTTAGCAATAAAAACAAATACAACAGAATATGCAACAATAGACACTTGTTGAGGGCAATCAACGTTTAAACAATCAAAAAGGTAAATTCAAATTTCAATTTGAGTTGGAAAAATACAAACCGAAACAAAGCAAAACAGAGACAGAGACAGAAGCTGCCAATCGAGAGAGCGAGAGAGAGAGAGAGAGACGGATAGAGAGAGAGGAGAGCAACAAATGCATAATATAAATGCAAAAAGCTGTTTAAATATTTGATAGCCGCCAACGCGACCTTAAACTTTTTCCTTTGTTTCATCGACTAAAACAGAAAAGGTTAAAGTTCCGAACCAATTTCAACGATGTTTCAAGACATGTTTTAATGTCATATTTGATTCGGGGCTGTAGCTCTATATTTAAGGTATTTGCATAGTGGATGGTGAATCATTTTTAAAATCAGAAAGCTCTTGATTAAGTTTTGAACTTCCAAATGTAGTTTTAGTCGTGAATTAGAGTAAATAAAACATAATATTAAAAATACAATATTACTATGGAGTGAAAATATATTCAGGATATATGTGTTGTTTATTGCTAGTTAAGATCTGCGTAGATGCAAACAAGTTTAGGTAGAGCAAACAGTTATAGGTTCCCCTTGTCGCTAATTTGTACAATAAATATTAATGAAACTCTATCCATAATCAAATAATAACCAAAATGCATACATTAACCCAAGAAATGCATTAATTCTGACAGCATTTAATAGCATTTAATTACCCAAAAACCAAGCGTAAAGAGAATAACAATCGTAGATACATTTGACAGGCGGTAAATTAATTAAACAAACACCTGACGACTAGACAAAACTGCACACTTGCAGACACAAAGATACGCGTACACACACAGATACTTACAACCAGTATTATATGATGATGATGATGATGATGACTACTGAACCATCGCGAGGGACAGGCGGACAAACGGACGGACGGATAAAACGAACAAAGATAAATTAGCAACATAAATGGCCAAAAACACAACTGAAAATTGCTAACAAAAGCTGTGGCTCTGGCAACTTAATTGAAGAAGTGGTCGAGCGTAAAAGTGTTAAAATAACTTTATAAGACTCATGATTTGTCCATGCTCTCCTCACTAATTCCTACTACTACTTATTTCCTGCCTTCACTTCTCTCACTTACAGAGGCCACTTGCAACCCACGAAAGAGACACAACCGCCTGGAAAGTGCAAAAGAGATAGAAAGCTTGAAAAGTGCGACAGAGAGATAGAGAGAGAGAAGAGCAGCGGTGGCGGCAGCAGCAGCAGCAGCAGCAGCGGTGGTTTGACAATATGTTGAGCCCCCATAATGAAGGAAATTGATACGGAGACAACAGTAGTATGGCCAGCCTGGTGTTATTCCGGTAAGTAATGCTTTGTGCCCCCTAGCCACTTTTTGTTTTTTCCAACTCCCCCCAAACTTCACTACACTTTCAATAGATGCCCCGGGGAGGCGAATGAAAAAGGTGTTGAAAGTTCAACTATCGCTTTACGCTCTTGTTTTTGAGTCGTCTTTGTATCGTCTTGTACCCTGTACCCCAAGGAGTGTGTGAGGAGTTGATTGGGACTCAAGGGAACTTGGGTACCTGAACTGAAAAGCTAGTAGCATATCTGTAAGATATTAACAAATTTAATGGCAAATATAATACAGAAAAAAATCAGGATTTTGTAATGATTTTGTAGTTATGGTGGAGCTATGGAATCAAATACTTTCAGTGATGTTTTTAATGATGTATTTTATATCATTTGTAAGAAGTATTCTTATTATTTTAGTCTTTTACCTTTAACAACTCCTGATATTAGACGTGCTCCTATAATTAACATACAAATACACAGCTAAGCATAAAGTTTTAAACGTTTGTAAATTGCTCAACAAAGCTGTTTCTTAATGACTGTTCTTTTGAGTACCCTAATGAATCATAATAATAATACCCAAGATGAATCATTCCATTCTCTTGAGCTTGCAATACATTGATCATTTTCTCTAAAGGGTGTCTCCATAGTCCAAACATTAACTGAATTTCTATTTGTTTTCCTTTTGCTTTATTTGTTATTGTATTCTTTATGTTTTTCGATTCGTTTCGGGGTTTATATTTCTTGCGGATCGATGGTCAAAAGGCCGTCAACGGCTGGCCTGGCCTGGCCCCCTCGTTGCAGTTTATGATCATTGTTTTTGTTTCTGTTTTTGTTTGTTTTCTTGTTGCTTTTTTTTTATTACGATTTTTTTCCGTTTGTTGCTGCCGTAAATTTGTCTCACCTTTGGCTCTCTCACCGGGAGGGGAGGAGGGGTTGATCTGTGGGTTCTGTTTTCACATTTTATTTATGGGCGTGTGACATTTTTTTTTATTTTGTTGTTTGTATTTTTGTTGTTGTGGATAGTTTAATTAGATTGAATGGTGCTCTGAGTTTTTGTAGCTTTTTATTTTCTGTTGAGAGATCTTTCAACGTTTCACTTGCTGCCACTGGAGGGAGTCAAGTACAAGTCTCTCCTACAGAGCCATGATGTCATGGGGCCTCACCTTTGACTTTTGCTTTGGCTTTGGCTTCAACTTGTGCTTTTGCTTTTGCTTTGGTCACTCCGAGACAACAGCAGTCAGCAGCCAGCAGTCAGCATGCAAAAACGAGAATTTCTGTTCGACATGCACATTGTGAAACACACACAAAAAGTTATAAGCCAAACACAAAATAAATACATATACAATACATATGTACATATATAAATCGGTTAATCAGTACAGGCAAAAAAAAAGTAAAAGGCAGATCGGAGATCACAAACAAAAAACGATCGAACCGAGTCACCGAACTACAGAGAATTGGGGTTTTTATATGACGTCAAGAAAGGTGGCTGCCATAGCTATAATGATTCCAACTGTCCGATTAGGGCTTAAATATTGATAGATTACTTTTTTTTTGTACTGACTGAAACTATCATATTATATCAAATTCCTTATCGCACGTGCTTACTCGAGAGCTTGCCCGTCTTGCGCTTATTCTTTCGCTCTCTCTCTTTTTCAGTGGAGCTCAGCAGTTCTTTTTAACATAATAATGGTAATAAATAAGTAAAACGGCACGTTTGCCAAATTAGCAATATAATAATTATATTAATGAAATTAATTGATGAATGAAATGAAGGTACATACACATATCGCAAAAATTTAAACTTCGAAGAAAATAAATGCCTCCTGCTAAACAAAATTTCGCTATTTTTAACTAAAAGATTAAAGTTTATTTGATGTAAACTTAGAAATTTAATGCATTTTTTAACATTATCGGAAAAGATATGTTATCAATGATTTATGTCTTCCATTCAAGATATTTAGATAGGGCAGAAAGTTTAATGTAATACGGAAAATAAGAAATATAAATAAATAAATAAATAGAAAATATAATACCAATAAATGTTAAAATTCCCTTTGTCAGATATAAAAGATTAAATTCCCTAAAGCTGCCCACCTAAGAGAAAGGACATAAGTTGTATGCTAAGAATAGGATACAAGTCAGCAGCCGTCTCAGCTCTGTAATTTCTGGGGCCTACTAGGTTTCAAAATCAAAATGGCAAATGGTTGAAGAAAAACTATTCTGAGTATGATATCCCTATGTAGCTATCGATTGTATTTGCATCCAGGACAAACATACGCACGTAAAGCTTCAAAAGCTCACGTACCTAGCTTTCATTTCACTTTGTATGCTTTTGTAAACTGTACCTGGAAACTTGTACAGTATTCGCACGCCCTGCCCTGCCTGTTGTGACAACCTTTTGACCATACAAAAAATATTTCTGCTGCCCAAAACCGCTCCCCGGAATCCGTAAGTTTACTTCGAGAGCATTGCTGGGGCATTGCGGCAAAAATTAAGCATTCAACATGCAAATTTTTCATTAAATAAAAGTTAAAAAAAATATAAGGAACGAACGCAATTTCGATGCCTCTCGCGATTTGACTTGACTTTGACCGGGGCTCCAGCCCGAGCTTCGGGTCCCCAAAAAAAAAAATAAAGAGGTACAGAGGAAGCGGGGTTAGAGGGAGACACAAATGAACGCCCAAATGGCCGACAAGTGGCGATAAAAAACAAAAGTAACAAAAAATATCGGACTGCAAGGAGCTTTAAAATGAAAATAATCAAAAATAAAAATAAACAAGCCAAGCCAAACGACGACGCGACGATGCGACGACGACGACGACGATGATGATAATGATGAAAAAGATCGCTCGTCGTTGGGTAAAAATTAAAATGCAAAACGAGTCGGATCCAGCGATGAAGTCAACCGACAAGGAAGTGCGGAAAGGGCAAGATTCCTCCAATACAGAAGCGACCCGTTCAGATCTTGCGTGGAGGCCCAGACCAAGACACGAAGACCAGAGCAGGCTAATATAAAAGCCAAGAAGAAGGTTAAATGAGGCTTCAGGCAAAGTTTAAGATACCCTTGTGGGTGGATAATCTAATTGATTGGGATAATTAAGAAACATTGGCTGTATTTATAGCACAAGAGGTCAAGAGTTTCCTTCGAAAAATATTCTTCGAACCAATTTTTGTCCAAATTTTAACTGACTTGAATAAATATTTCCTGACTATTTTATGGACTTGTTAATATTAAGTTTTCTATGTTTTACTCTGCAAGGTTTTGTTCTACGACCGATCGTTCCCATGCCAGTTACAAATATGTATGATAAGTAATATATTCTGGCGAAAATTGCTGCTGTTAAAAATTAGTTGTTCTTTCACCCCCTAAAAGTGCTTCCTGTATCGCGTTACACACCTCTCAATAATGTTCGTAATGCCCTCCTTTTAGAGAGTATGACGACAAATACTTGTACAATATCAATATGAAAAGGGGGGGATCGCTGCAGCATCGTCAGCTTTAGCGTCAGCGTCAGGCAAAGGTTATAATGCATCCCGGCTGCTGCTGCTGCTGCTGATGCTTCTCCGCTTTTGTTCTTGTGTTTGCCTTTTGTGCTTTTCACTCTCATCTTCTCTTTCCTTCTCTGCACTCTTCTCCCAGCCATTCCTCTGCTCACTGATTTTGTTGTTTTTTTTTTTTTTGCTTGACTTGACTTGACTCCGAAACCTTTGACGCGAACTTATGCCCTGCGAGTGGCCATGGAATGTTGGCTTCTTGCTGTCTGTCTGTATGTCTTTCGGGTCTCGGGTCTTTGCCGGGACTGGAACTCTGTTGGATCTGTTCGGCCTGGCGGGACTGGTGCTCAAGAATGGAATATAACGCAGAGAGGCAAATATTGTATGTGAAGAATAAGAAGCGCGGGTAATAGGATGTTTTTACTTGAATGATGCCAAAAAAAGAAAGAATTTATAATGCTCTTTTAAGGCCTCTTTTTTGTGGGTTATCGTGATTAATCTGTGATGTTGCTGCCATATAGCCATTATCTATTAAACATCTATTAAAAAAAACCAATTTGTTTTTCTAAATATTTAAGATGTTTTCCTGCCATTACACGTGGATCTCCCATTTCATTCCTGAGAGAACCAATATAATATGCTCAATAACTGTTTTCATGTGCGAAAATCTTTCGCCTAAGAGCATTATAGTGTTCCCATATGAGATATACCCCCTCGCATAGGCAGAGTGCACATTTTTCATGAAATATTTTAAAATATATTCGTTTGTGTGTGCCATTAAATTCCATTCCTGGAAAGGGCATCTGTCATTTTGTATAGGGAAAAGCTTTTAAGCTCTGCTCTGCTCTCCTCTCTGCACTCTCTGCGCATGCTTTATATGCCGATGGCGTGCAGCAGTCAGTCGCGTCGCCAATGACTTTGGAAGCCAGGCGACTGCGCAGCAGCTTCTCTCTCTCTCTCCCTCTCTTCTTCCTCCCTCTATCTCTCAGTCATTTGCAGTCGGTTTTTTATGTCTGGCTCTCAACTTTGCACTCGTAGCGCTCGGCAGTGGAAACGACTTGGGACACGCACACTTGTTGCTCTTTGGCATGGGGGGGCATGGCATGGCCTTACGTGGTGGTGGTGCCCCCACGTTGCACGTTGCGCGCGCGCGCACTGCAGTTGCAGTTGCAGTTCTCTTCTGTGCGCTGCACTTATTTATTGTTTGTTGTTGCTGCAGTTATGATTTGCGATTTTTCTTACTCCCGTGTATATCGATGGCCACTTGGGTGCTGCTGCTGCTGCTGTTGCTGCTGGTGCCAGCCTCTTCCCTCCTCTCTGGTATACCATCCCTCTTGTGGCACGGTAGCCGCCGCAGGGCGCAATTATGCCACTTGTCGGAATTTCACTCAGTCTGAAGAGGGCATGGAGAAGGAAGAGGGAAAGAGTAACGTAACCCTCTTGCCGAAGTTGCGCAGCCGCCGAAGCTCTCACTCTCTCTCTCTCTCCCTCTCTCTTTGTCTCTTTGGCT